ATAAATAAAGAAGAATAAATATATTTATTAGAAATTTTATTCAGCATTATAAATAAATTAATTCCTTCTTTGGAAATTATTGCAATGGATCCAATTTTTCGAATTAAAAACAATTTCTGAAATCTCCAGAGCAGAAATCAATTGCTTTTAAAAAAAATTTTATGTACGCATGCACATGGACATTTGTTTCGCATGTCTTGGAAAAGAAAAATTATTTTGACTTTGAACCAATTTGATTCGACACAAAATTACATAATAAATACCTGATCGAATTTGTTAACAATCTTAATTTCTTCATACTCCTTTAAGAAAACTTTTTTAAAAACTGAGAAATTTGAAAGCAAGAGAAGTAGAGTGATTTTTAGTTTTCAAGGACATCAATTGTGAAGTTAAAAGTTCGAGTCGACCAGTCGCACCCGGCCTCTTTATTAATAGTTAATGAATCTTGTTTGCAAGTCTGTCTGACGTATAATTCGTAAGCCGCAAAAGAATCTCTTTATAATTGTGTAGCTTGAGCTATGGTTATTAACAATGTATTCATTATTTCATTAATATATTTGTTTTCATTAATAAAGTAATAAATACTATAAATAATTTAATTCAATATTATAAATATAAGTCTAATAATAATATAAATAAATAAACGTTTCTTCGTGTAATATTGAAAATAATTTATTTTAAAATGTATTTAATTTGATAAATTTTTTATGACTCTGAAAACTTGAATGGCAAATGAATAATCTTAATTCTCCATAAATTGGCTAGAGATGGATAAAGTATTTGTCTCTAGCTGGTTAATATCTTGATTGTAAATCCCGAAATGTCGAAAAAAATTCCATTAGAGAAATCTATAAACGCACACGAAGAGGAATCAAGTAATATCTCGTAAATTGTTCCTCTCATTTCCCTCCCTTGAGAGAAAGAGATGATCGTTACCTCAATCGTCTTTGCCTCCGTGACTACCAGAGATATCCGATGAATATCTTTGTGACCGAGGATAAATCGACGCTTATTTATATGCTTGACGCGCGTCTTATTGTCTCGAGTAAATACAAAGACACTCATCCACGCACTTGTAACGAGTGTGAGCTCCAGTCGAGTGTTTTATGTATGCGTGTGCAGGTATGTATATGTATAGAGTGATAGACAGAGAGAAAATAATAAACGCAAATGTTTCGTTCACGATCACATAGGGGACACACCCAAGTTGTACAGAGAGAGAAAGAGTTCTCGAGAATTCTTGTTATCACACCTATAGAACTATAGAAAGCTAAAATACATAGCACTCTACACACTGAGACTCGTTATAGTTAGAGACTTGTTTCGAAAGTATCTGCAAGACTTTATGACTTATAAACTAGCTTCCAATCTCGTTGATTGTTTATCTTCTCTTTTTTAACTCCTTCATCGTCAATAGAAGTTTACAGGTGCTAAAAAATTTGCACTTTTGTACCAAAGTTGCGTGGAGAATATATTATTATTCTTTGTTGTGCACACGCAAGTCTATGAATAAAATAAGGAACTTCATTTAAACGAGCTTTTGTTTACCTACTTTTTACATCATTATTATTGTAAAAAATATACCGTTATTCAAACCATCATTTATATTCTAAAATAAAAATAATATAATTGGATCCTCAATGTTGAAAAATGTTTAAATCTTATTGCTAATTTTTTAAAACATTAGACAATGAATTAATTAATGACAAAATTAGTCAAGGCCCAAAGTAAGCTCAGATCCATTTTTTTTTTGTATTTTAAAGGATTGATAAGACGTTGGTATTGATAAACATTATTCTGATATTATTTAAATAAAATAAACGAATCTGAAGATTCGATAAAATATGAAAGCCATTGTACAGAAACAGTGTGAGAAATAATTTTCAAAGTATCACTTACCTTCAGCATGATCCTTTAAAAATATCCAATGAAGCATCGCAAAAGCAGCAGAAGCAAAATCTCCGTCTGCAACATTCAAATATTGGCAATTTGATACCTTTCCCTAGCTCTTATATCCAGATGTATTGAATTGTATTGGGTGGAAGTGATGGGGAATGAGTCGTAGCGCGAGATCGCGAAATAGAAAAAGATGCTGGAGGGATAAAAGGTTGAAGAAGCCAAAGAGGCTAGAGTATAGGATATAGACGAAGGCAAAGGAAGAAATAAGGGTTTAACAGCGTAGCTAACGCGGCGTGAAATCCTCTGGGCACGCGCCATTTCACTTGGCCCACGGCGAGGTTCGCTTTGCTGTTGAGGCCAACGTTCTACTATATTCGGTGCTGATCTTCCGGCCAACTTTACTCTTCATAGCTGCGTTACATCTGCTTATGAGAAACCGATTTAAAGATCAAGATAAGCTATGATATTCAAAGAAACCTTTTAAAGTTTACATTGCGAAATTTGCTGAAAGATGAAGAAGTTATTTGACGTAAATGGAAGATTTTTTTCTCATTTTAGATAAATAAACTCATACTCTGTCACATTTAAATGTCAGACTTCATTAAAAGGTGTGTCAAAAGTGCTATGAATAAGCAGCTTTATGAACTCGATGTTAATTTAAAACAGAAAAAAATGTGAGATGAATATTTATTATTTAATTAATTTAAGATAAATAAAATAATAAAATTTTACGAAATATCTCATGGAGGATTCTTTTAAGTATATTTTAAGTTAAAATATTTCAGATGATTATTTTTTCAAACTTGACTCCTCGTTTTTAATAGTAATCTAAAGAGTAAATAATTTTACATATTATGTTACAATTGTACAATTTTTCTTACATTTTTTTTGAGATATCAAGGATTAAAAATGTTAGAAAATACGAACAGAACGTGTATTATATTGTAAATTGGAGTGGAATACCAACTCGAGAATGATCAAAAGCTAATTAGAAAGTTTATGAATTCTGACAGGTGAAATTAATTAATCTGAAGCTCTAATTTTGGTCACAAACTAAACATAAACAAATTAGTTAACTGTCATACACATGTGCACTAATGTTTTACAATACTATATAAAATTGTCAATATTAATGAACATGATGCTTTCTACTATCATTTCAATAAAAATGAAGCAATTACGACTCTTGTAAAATTAACTAAATGGTTTATTAAATCAGATGCTTCATAACATACAATTACTTTAAAAGACAAGTTTAATCATGTTTATAGAAGATTGTTTTTCTCGTAAAGTGCACCGGACTGTCGAGACTTAAACTTACAAAGCTTAAATGTCATCCTTTTTTCAATGTTAATGTAGACTATGGTAGCCCAAGCGAAAAGACGTTGTGCTTTTTACTGTCTACATCTTTGGATATTATTTCCTCCCTTTTATAAAAAATACCAGAATTATTTTATTCTCTTCCTCTGGATGTATACAAATAGTTATTTCTTGACCATTTCGATACTTCAGATTAAACGACAGACGTTCAAGTTTCACAAAAAAAAAAATATTTGAAACATGATCGGAAAAGATTGTTTTTTTTTGTTCAATTTAAAATTCAAAACTCGCTTCATCATCAATAGTAAATAATCTATCCTGATCGATCGGAGTAATAAATAAAATGTCTAGTGTGCGTTGTCATGTCGACGATATTTGAAACCGACTTTTGACATCTCACACCGCGTATTTCAAGTGAGACCTCCCGTGTGACTCTGGCGAATCGCCAGACCGGTCCATTCGCCTTTTTATCTTTGTCTTTTTTTTATCTACAAAGAGCCACACGAGGACTTTCTTGGTCTTCTTCTCAATGCGCACAAGCAAAAGGAAACGGATATCTCGAGTATCCATACACACACACACCTTGGGGTGTCGTCGCCGATCGACTGTGATGAGGATTGATTAAGAAAAAGGGTGTCGCGACACTCGATGAGAAAGGTGTCACACTGTAAAACACAGAATATAAAAGCAACTCCGTATAGAAGTATATAGTGTATATATATGCAGTGTCAAGGAGCATCAAATTACTACAGGGTTCAACCCTAACGAATGAACTTGCGGTTCTTCTTTCACACCTTGCGGCAAACTATTACTTTTTGTTATTCATTAAGAGTGTGAAAAGTAAATTTCATATTTTTATATTTTTTAAAAGTGCTCTTTTTATTATTTATTATTAACACTAAAATATTTGAATTTTTTTATTAATGAAAATCTAAAAGCAATTTTAAATAATTTAACAAAAATTCCTAGAGTTTGAATAATTAAATTGGGGTTTTAACTTTCATCAAAAGCATTACCAACTGTATTATTCATTTGAAAAAAAAACTTTCCTTGACTTTAATTTTCTTTTTCACCATCTCGACTTAAACTTCATGAAGTACACGGTTTTATTCCCGAAAAGAAAAAATTATTTTATTTGCTGCTGAGAATTATCTTAAGACTTTCAAAGAGCATTTTAAAGCCATTTAAAACTTGAATCCACTACTTTAAGATACTTTTTTCATCTTCAATGAATATTTACTCCTTATAGAACTCCGAAAACCAATTGAATTCGAAACCCCATTTTTTTAAGGTAAAGAATTTTTTCCTTGTTAAAAATAAAAATAAAACTGGCAGATAAGTTTTGATTTGAAAGCTTCCTTGTTTCTATTAAAGAAAATATTATCAAATGTCTTACAACTTTTTATTGAGTTAGAGTAGTTTGGAGTGAAAATCGTTCTTATAGCTTTGAGACTCAATTACCAAAGAGTAGATTGCCTCAAGATATTTAAAAAAAAAAAATAATAAACTTTCCAACACAGAAGCGAAAGAAAAATATTTTATAACAACAGTCTAAGCCTATAAGACTAGACTGAATTATTTTAATTATTATTTTTTTTACAAAAAAAAATGATATTGTAAAATAATTGTTGTCTCCATCCATATTGTAATAGACAAATGACAGATTTTTTTAATTTTAAAATCATTCCTGTCATTTTTAATAAACTTTTTTTTCTTCTAAATCATTTAATGGATCATTCATTGACAATATTTATTTACAAGTAATTGTTTTTTTGTTGCAGATCACCAGTAATTGGAAACTATCGAGTTAGGTAAGCACTGATCTAGATAATAAATCATTTAACACATTTCGATTTGATTAATGGTAACATATTTATGGTGAAAAAATGTCTAAATAATTGGTTCATTAAATTCCGTTACTTTTAATCGGTGGGAAATCTTTATTCATGTTAAGCACATAATTGATTCTCAAGTGGAAAATGTATTAAATATACATATATAGTATGAGTACTTATAAAATTCTCGTCGTTTAATCAGGATGACAAACGATTATGGCGTGACTGTAGAAGCGCGATAATTCTTCGGAGGAATCGCACATATAAATTCAACGAACGCGCAGAGGACAGCAGGAGGTAGACTCCTGCGATTTTGTGTTTTTTGTCATCATTGGTACATGACTATAGTTTGCATATTGTATTTCATATCCAAAAATATTCGAAATAATTAAATATAAAAGATGCTGGAGACAAGTCGTTTGAATATTAATTTTAGTTTTTGCAAAACTTTTAGACGTGGTTTTAAAATACTTTTAATAAGGATAAATAATAAAAAAATAAGATATTTAGCATTGCTATTTTTTTTTAATCTCAAAGCCTACTAAATTATTGACGTTTAATTTCTTTATAATAATTATAGAAATTAATTTTTATTATGATTGTAAAAATTATTTCAAATTTTATCAAATTATCTCTATTACGAGGTCGAGTATTTAAATGAATTAATAACTTGGCTAATTATTAGTTAAATTATTTTTTACATTTTGTTTTAATAAAATATATGATGCTAATCACTGTAAATCATGATGTTTTATTTTAATGCACTTTCAAGTAGTTCGAAACGCATAAAAATATTAATTAAATAAGTGACATCATATTAAAACACTTGAAAATTTAAGATTTTGAGACAACATAACATAAGAAAAATGATTGAAGAAAAAAAAGTTGCAATTCAGCGCAATTGTGGTACGTTGTTTCGAGTAAAATTAACCTGGCAAGATAATAAAATTGACCCTTCCTCTTAGTACAAATTCTTTCCTTACCAGGTAATTTTTGCTCAATCCTTTTCTCCGTGCATCCAATTGACTGCATCAGATGATAAAAAGAGCTCATTATTCGATACAAATGAACTAAAACTGCTGGTTTGAATGTTATTTAAACAGAAGCAGAATAATGTTGGAGTAAATTGGAAAAAGCAATAATGTCGAATATATGAAAAAAAGATTTACTGTTGTGACAAGTATCCTCGAGATGGAAATCTCAATAAAAGAAGAATGAGGATGAAGAGAGAAAAAGGGTAAAGCTCGATTAACGTACGAACATGAGACACGCCCATGAATCCGCAGTAATTGTGTGTGCATCTGTCTGTCTGATCATCATGATGTAGTTGTGTGGGATGTCCGCCACTCATCTTCAAACGAGATGCACGCAGCCTCTCACATACACCTGCCTCCCAATGGAGAAATTAATTAACTCTACTGTTAAAAATTCAACTTCTCATTAAAGCTCTAACGTGTATTTGAACGAATGAAGAAAGAGTTATACTGATCACTTTGGATATTTTTCAACGTTCATCCCACGTGTTATAACCACTTTTCAACTCTCCAATGTAAACACAAGATGGACAGCCAGTGAATAATAAAAATTACTTTTTCATAAAAATAACAGTGCTTATTTGCGAAACAAAGTGAGGGAATAAATTAAAGTCATTTTAATTATTAATGAGAATGATTCATAACTTCAAAGTTTTTATTCAATGAAAAAATAAAATAATCTTCAAGCTGAATTATTTAAATCAATTTTTAATTTATTAATCACCTTTTTGATAAGTGTTAATTATACTTTCAAAATGGACTGCATGAAAAATGGAAAAGCTTTCGTAAGAGACCAAGGAAAAAATTATTTCTAAAACAATTATTACATCAGAGGATAATCAAACGATTTTTAATGACATTATTAAATAATATTTTCCATTTAAATTCTTAGAGAACATTTTTTTATCAATAATTTTTGTATTTTAATGTACCCATATTGTGTGGGCCATCAAAATTGACAAAACGATTAATCATCTCAAACAGATAAAGAAGCACCTCTAGATCTAAATCAATTGTCTTCAGTTTGTCTTTCACCTGATCTTCGAGCACCATTAATTTCAACAAAAAATTATACTATTATCTAGACTTTAATCTTGTATTTAAAATAATATTTTATCTTTATGTAATCATTTACAGTTTTTCTCAGGGTTGAATATGATTAATAATTAAATTACTCTAAAACAAAAAAAGCAATAATTCAAACTAATTAAATTATTGTTTGTATTGTCAAAGTAGTTTAAATTTGAAAAAATGTGCTCGCAAAACAGAGACAGTGAGACAAAAAATACTGGCGACATACAATTACGGTTGGATTGATATTTATAAAATGAAATTTATGAACGTTAACCAGCATAATAAACATAACGGCATGTTCACATCAATCTCAAGTTCTTTTTTCAATATAGATAACTGACATGTTATTTCCTTGCGTAGAGTCTCGAGGTGTCTCTTATATATTTACATAATATTTATTCTTGTGAGAACCACTGTTAGGATGATCGTAAGTCACTCAGCATGTAGCTAAAGCTGGTGTGTGCCCTCCTCATCTTCTCGGCTACACGCGTTTATTTGGTCATTTTGCTCCACTCTACTACTGTGATTTTCAGCTTCAACTCCTTTATTTTCATACCACGTCAATTTTTCTCTTTACGAGAGTGCACTGCCACTATCATCCTGTCCTGCTCGACTCTTCCATGTGGTCCAGTCACAGGTCTGAGGCGTCCTGAACACTCTTGTACATGTTTAACCACCAGGACGTCGCGTCGTATCCCGCTGGGCCCGACTCACGGGCTCCGATTTGGTCGTTTCATACAACATTCTCGCATTCTATCTATCCTATCATGTTTGCATACACTCTCAGATGTTAGTCGAGCGAAATACATTATTTTATCTGATGCTTAACATCATTTCGAGCTTCTTCGAAGGACAATCAAGTCTTGTCTCAGTCTTCTAGGATCCGTTTGACCTTTTACTTAATTAATTAGATCTTGATAGCCTTCAGCCAATGTCTCGTAAATCCTCCTTGGCTTCTATTCGCAGAAGTCGTTCGTGAATTTCTCTTTTGGATTTTTATCAAATCGAAATATTTTTAACCCAACTTTCGATAGCTATCAATTTTTTGTAAATTAATAGATCAAAGATTTTTTTAACAGCTGGCTAACACACGTGCTTATATATTTTTTCGTATTAGAACTAATTATAATCACCTTAAGTAGAAATTTATTTTATTTATTTTTCGTTAATAAATACTCAATTTATTGTGACATTTATTTCATGGTATTTTATTTTATTTTGAATTACAAAGTATTATTTTATCCTGAATTTTAAAAGAATAAAAAATTCTAAATTAATCAAAGACATTTTGTTTTTTTCATGGAACAGTGAAGTAATGGAAATCGTTGAAAATATTTCTTTTATATTTACTGCACTGTAAACGAATTTACTGTGAACAAAAAGAATTTTTTTCAATTGTTAAAATCGACATTTTAAATAATCACAATAGATTTTTTATAATCTAACAATTTTATCATTGCATCTGAATTATTTTAAATAGAATTGTCTAAAATATTGATATATTCCTATTTTTTCATTGGATCCAATGTATTCATTACTTTCAAGTAAAATTTTTTATTTTTATTTCTATCTCAATATGTTGAATATTCCATCTTTATATAAAAAATAATTGCTAGCCAATTTCACATCTTTTGACATTAATTCGAAATTTTTTCTAGTTTAGTTGAAGAAACATTTATCTTTCAGCGAGTTATTCGAATTGTGGCAAGAATTTCTCTCGAAACTTGAGCTGTAGTGTTACTACCACATGATACAACACTCAACACTTCAACCCCTATGACAAACGGTGTTCTCGTATCACTCGAGAAAAAGGAAACGCACTGCGCGAACACAAGAGAAAGAAAAGAACCGTGGGTTTCTATCTGCTCACACGCAAGTTACCAACATCTGTGGGATCGATCCCAACTATATACACGTATTGCGTTGGTTGAAGACGACAGAAATATAGAGACAACTATCAAATGTATATATACCCATTTGCTAACACTTTTCATACTTTTCAAATAAATATCAGATAATTTTTTTACACTTGCCATATATCAAAACTATCAGAAATATTTATATTAAAAATAAATTAAAAAACTTGAATAAATTTCTGTTAAAATTCATCAATATTTATTCTCACTATAAATATATTTTTATATCTATTTTATTAGAGTTATTTGTAAATATAATAATAAATTCAATATTGATTCTTTGATTGTAATAAAATGAAATAATAAAGCAAATAAATGTCTGAAGGTAAACCGGCTGGATTTATCCAGAATTAATATCTAAAATAATATCATATTTGGTAGTCAAATTAACTTAAACGGTTCTTCAAGCAAACATTGATTTTCTGTTTGAGTTGTGAAGTCTCTCTATAATGGTATCTTGCATATTAAATAATTTAACTGACCTACATTATCACTGTCTCAGACAGTTTTTGTATTTTATAGAATTATCAAATGTCAAACTATCTAAAATATCACAAGATATAGAGCTGTCATATTTCTGGTGTATTATTGACTGGTGTAAAATTTAATCAATTTATTATATCGATAAATTCATCAGCTATAATCAAATTTATTATCATTTTATTTATATTTATTAAATTATAAACTTGCCCTTTCAAAATAGAAATTACTCCAATCAATATGTTGAATTGATTCTGCCCAAAATAAAATAGCTATTTAAATATTTTAGGAAGTAAAAAAAATTCTTTTAATATTGTTTATTTATTATTAAATATTCCAACATCTGTTGTTATTTGTGATGGAAAAAATGGAAGGATTTAAAATAAATATTAGATTGTTATAAAAAGATGATAAATGATGTTGATAAGAAACACACTTCACACTTCCATATTGTTTTTTTCCGATTTTTCTT